GATTCAGCTCTGTTTAATTCACTCTTCACCTCCCAATGCCATTGTCTGGCCCACAATCTCCTCCATCATTTTATTAGTAATGTAGATGTAGCTTCCGTTTGAAGAGTGGAGGGACTTACTACCAAGAGTTGACAATGTTTCGGCCAGCTACTCAGGCAAATATCTTTGATTTATCGGGATTGTTCTCCTAGTACGGTCTTCGTTGATATGTTAAATTAAACATGAAAGCTACTTTTAAAATATTATTTGACCCTTGATAGATGCAGTTTTAATTCAAACTTTCCATTTCAAATTTAATATTATTCCTCTCTTATGCCTGATAAAAAAATGGTTAAAAGCACAGCTGTAGATCTGGCTTGATAAGACCAGAGATCTCCTGTATTTCTGTTTTAGAGAACCGTGTGTACAGACAAGTACACTGTGGTGCTACTATAGGATGTGTTAACATTTAAGTTAGAGAGTTTCAGTGTGTTTTATTGACTCTAATCATTACAAATTAGTAAGAAAAAGCATTCTTGTAATCTTTGATTGTAAAGAAAATGATACTGTAATCCCCCAGAAATATGATTATAATGCGAATAATAAAATGTTCTCAAATAGAAAATTCCCTAAAGGCCATAAATAAGCCTAACTATGGTTTATAAAATGGCCATCATGTTCAATGGGAAGTTCATAAAACTTGACAAAAATTTCTTCGAAGAGCCCAGAACGTAAAAGTGAATGATAATAAGCAATAAATAAATATTAAAGCAAATAATAATAAAGCAAAATAATAAATAATAAAGCAAAACCAATAAAAAAATTCTAACACTGTGTACTTGCAACACTAAGCACATTCCTTGACCATTTCATTTTCTTCCAGAGACAAGAGTTGAACAGTTCTGCTGACCTACGAAGCAGAGGCATGCTGTTGCTGCCAAAAACACAGGCTTTAAACAGTCTTTGAGTAACTGGACACACCTCATGAACATATATGTTGCTCTGGAATTGGGTATTAGAGAAGAGTGTTAAAGGCTGTCAGCCTTGACATCCTATATTTGTGAGAATAACATCAATATTTCCCTAACTGTATGTTTAGAGTAAAGCTACTAAATTTTACCTGAACTATCAGAGGATGCACCTAAAAGTAGACACATAAATACCCTGAATCTGCTATAGTTAAGGGGAGATTTGCAGCAACACTAATTTCCAATTAAATAACACACGAAGGTGATATTGCAAGGTAGGAATTTCTTTTACTGGAGGTGTTAATGGGCCCTGGCTGTTTGAAGGGTTGTGCGGAGAAAGTATAGGCTGATAGTGACCTTTTGTTGTGTTGTGCATTTTCATTATTCTTCTTTCCCCACATCTTCCACAGTCTTCATGTGCTCCCTATTATTTTCACCAAATGTTCATTGTGGTAGGAAGGATGAGATGGTTTCAGCAGAATTACTTAATTAGGTTTAAGTAAGCAGTACTGCTAAGTGGGGTAGGTTTGCTTTCTAGAAAAAAAAAAAAAAAAAAAAAAAGCGCCTGCCATGCATGCTGGACTCCCGAGGAATGAAACTCAGTGATTGATGTGATGATAAAACGATGAAGGAAAGGATAAAGCCTGAGAGATAAAAGTCTCACAGGGAAAATAAAGTAGGTAGCAGCTGCCCCCATCTTAATTGAAGCATAAATTTCAAGCAGAGCATCTGAGGTTAAATTTCAAGCACATACTCAGAGTTTGTGTGCCTCTGTGTATCTGTGCCCAAGAGTGTGATGAAAAGAAGAAAGTAAAAAATCTCATCTTTTGTGTGAAGAATTTTAAATTTATCTCTAAACATGTTAAAAGGTGGAGACACTGGGGTTTATTTGCACAGAAAGAATCATTTAACTATCATTTGAGAGCAAAGAGGAGCCGTTGGTGGACAGAGAATGCTTTTAGCTGTGCTGATGTAGTCAGCTATAACAAACGCACTTTCTGCAGTGAAGGATCTGAACATTCTTTGTTCATTTTCCCTCTACACACACTGTTCGTGCCTCCACTCTACCCTCTGCAAGCATATCTTTGAAAGAGAAAGTTGGGTTATTCTAATGGCATTAATTCATATTTTGCTACACCAGCACATACAAAGCCCTTTAGTTCACTCACGACCCGTATGTCAAGTCTCCCATCTTATCCTGTGCGCCAGGTTAAGTGTCTCATTCTACAGCCACGATGTCCTTTTTTTTTTTTTTTATTTTAACAGCAGGTTGAGACCATCAGATTGTGTAATAATAATATTGTGCTTTCATACCTATTTCTCATCCAATAAGCTTCTCTTCGGTCTTTAGTTGGGTGGCTAATGTGCCTCTTTCATTTTAAAACCTTTTTCTCAACCCTTCATGCTTAACAGTCCATCTCAATTTACGGAGAAAGTAAACACTGCACGAATGGTTTCAATATTAATGATTTTAAAGTATTTTATCAAAAGTGAACGTTTCACATATCTTGGTGTATTTTGGTTTGTTTGTCTACTTTGGTAGAAATAAACTATTTCATAAAAAAGCAACAAAATATTTTAATTTATTTCCATTTACATATTGTTGTACATTGGTTTTGAATTCGAAGAAATGTTCAGATGGCAAATAAATGTCATGAGAAGGCATTTAAGTCCATGTAATATTTTTCATGTTAGACAAGCTGCTTCTCTAAACTTTCTAGATTTTATATCAGAAGGACTCAGGATGTGAAGAAATCCACAGGTGAGACTGTGCAGATCCCTCTGTGGGTTACAAAGATAGACGAATTCCACACAGAGGGACCCACCGACAAGGAAGAAAGACGAGTTCCACACAGAGGGGCCCACTGGCACGGAACGTGCACGTCCCATTAGACGGAGTAAACTAGTACTAGAATTACTTTGGAAAACCATCTTACCTTTCATATCCTGTCTTTATAGCTTAATATTGCCTCTCTGCTCAAATGTATAATAATATAATTCTAAACTAGGTAAACATTTCCTTCAAGAGTGCTTTAAGAAAGAAAACTTGCTTCTAGGCTTAGAAATGATGCAAAATTTCATGGCTTTGTTATGAGCGTTTGAAAAATAGAACTCAGAAGCATTGACGTTTTCTGTGCTTTAGTAGTAAGCTATGTCATGGTAAAATTAGACAACTGCCATTGAGACAACAGAAAACAAAACAAATAGAAAATTCATGTGAGTGATAAAGGTTTTAAAAATATTTAATTTTAACTGAAAATGTGTTCTAGAGGACACCTATAAACTATATTTTTATACACTTCACTCAGGAAGGTTCTATCTCTGCTGTAACTAACAAAATTTACTTCAAAGGACTGACTGTGGAAAGTGAAGCTGCTTCATATTGCTTACTGCTCCTTTCCCTGAAACCAATGACTTGCAGAGTTCAGAAACAAAATGTCCTACCGAATGAAAGTAAACTTCGCAAATAACTGATCTCTGCCTTTGTGGCAAGATAATGACTGATTGGATTGTCACATGAGAGTTTTTCTTGAAAACAGGCAATTTCATTCTTCTTATTCTTCTTTTCAATACTCTATTTTACAACTTTGAAGTTTAGATGTGAAATAAGATTTGTTGACAATACTAAAATAAACACAATTAGGTAAATATTACTCTGTATTCATCAAAAACAAGCTTAAAAAACCTGAGAATCTAACATGTAAGCATTAAAATAAGGTCTGACCAAATCATAGAAAATAATTAGCAGTTTCTGGAGTGAAACAGAAAAACTTAGTAAGGATTAAATGAGAGTGTGTTATGCAGCTGGATTGATCTTTATTCCAGCAATGAATCCAACATTTTAATTTATTATAGACCCATAAAATTTTTAAATGTGGGTGACACATTGTGGCATTGAATAGGTAGCAAGCCATTCATCAGCTCAGCCTGTCAAATTCAGGTTTCTGCCTTGTGTTTACAATCTCCAGTCAAGCTTTGTATCTATAAGAGATTGCATCAGTATCATCATGTTGATGGTTAGGAAGGTGTTGTTGATAGACTTCTTATAATTTCCTGATTGCTAACACCCTGGAAATCCTAATTAACATCCAAACGAATATATATATATATATATATATATATATATATATTAAATGATGTATGTTGAATTGGCTGAGTGGCATTACTTTATTTTCAGAAAGCAAAAAGGCTAAAAGAGCTTGAATATTTGTATGATACCATTACCTCACCCCATTGTTTTCTACATTAAAAACTTGCACCTAGGTTGTCTGTGTTTATACTTGAACCTACAGAAAACTTCATTTTACAGGTCGTTTAGCACATGACTCCACAAAAGTCAAAGAGAGTCACCTGTGGTTTGTTCAGGTAACTTTTGATGGATTAAATTGTATTTCAGAGTGGAAGAGTGTCAGTACTCATTTGATCATGAGTAATAATTAGAAGTTTTCAGAGTAAAACCAAAAACTAGAAAAGATTTGAATGGATTTTGTATTATATATTCTTTGAACAATACGAATTTGAATTTAGATACTATATGGATAGAATTCAGAACAATAAATACTTTCAAAAACGGAAAGCAAGAATGATGGTACAATTTTCTGAATTGAAGCAAGCATAAAGAATGTTTATAAGATCAAATACTGTGAAGTCACATTCATATTTCTATGTTGTATATAATATGAATATGCCAGGTCAACAATTTCCCTACTGCACTCTCAAAAGTACAATTGCCGATGTCATTATAGTTCAGAATAACTACTTCCAGAGGAGAACTCTATTATCTGCAAGTTTTGGTTATTACATTAAATTAAAATCTAGAGGAGACTCAAGCCCGCTTAATGTACACCTTAAAATATCTCTTCTCTTCCTTGAGAGAAAAAGACTCAATTATTGTTCCATACATTGTGAAGCAAAGAAGTCTCATTCTTCAACAGTCTATTAAATGGACTTAGAAAATCAACAGCAAAGCTATACACTCTTCAGTACCTCCAGGAAGAACACCAAAGCCCTTGGAACAAGTGATGAATGAGCAGCTGTCTCTCTTGCACTTACCTGCTTTGCTCTTTTTTAAAAATCCAACCCTTGCTGTCTACCAGACAAAGCTCATGACCACTGGGTGAAATCCAAACTGAGTAGTTGATCATGATAATTCCAGCACATCACAGGAGGCAGAATCTCTCAAAGTCCCATAAGCCAACCGCTTGAAACATGCCTGTAACAAACAAGACATTCCGTCATTATAATTGAAAAATTGTGAGCCATGTTCTAGGACTAGGAGGCCTTCACTGCTCAATCAATAAGAGAATCATAAAATGATGTAAAAAGGACTATAAATGCCACTCAGGATGCTGAGAAACTCAAAACTGGAAGACTGAAATGTATGCTTTTCAGAAAGTGTTCATGCAGTGCATAGCTTCCTTTCTATGCTTTCAGTGACCTACTCAAGCTATACGTAGTAATAAATACTATTAACATTAAAACTCATTCATATTATTAAATATATCTCAACTTTCATGTAATTGACTACCTCTAGCGCTTAGATTATTTTTCTGACTCCACACATAATACCCTCAATTGGTCACTGTGATATCACAGAGAAAAAACCTATCAGTTGCAACAGCAGATATCACAGGATAGCATGAACCAAGCATAATATGTTTTTTTGAGCTCTAACATTCATCACAGAGTCAGCATTTATATTATAAAGACTAGGTCACCTCTTCAGGAAAATGTGTGAGAAAGACCTTTAAGTGGCAAATATGAAGAGTTATTATAAATTCATCAGGCCCCACTATCCACATCAAAACAGAGATGGCAAGATAATAAAGAGAAAAAACACAATGGAGTTGATATCTGTACTCCAAGGTATGGCTAGAACCTAAGAAAGTAATCAGATACCTGTGTGGGAGCAAGCAGTCACATGTTTAATGGTCGAATTGTTAAAGTCCATACCAATACATACGTTGTTTAAACTTCGCAAACATTCCTTACATCCATTGATGGAGAAAATCCCTAAGGACAGTCACTGGCCTTTTCTGTGCCGGTGCCTGACACACAAATGAGTACAGTAGGAATGCAGAAAGGAACTGACAGGCTAGACCATGTGGTAGACTTCCCAGAGTAACTTTAAGAACTGATGCTCTGAAAGCCTCTGCAGTATAGACTGTCAAAGCAGATGCTGAGCTTGATGGCCAACTGATGGGCAGAGTGAATGGAATTTTATGTAAGAAGTGGGAAATAGTAAGAGCTGGAGGGGACGGGAACTCCACAAGCAGAGCAACAGAACAAGATAATTTGAACACAGGGAACTTCCCAGAGACTCATACTCCAACCAAGGACTATTCGTGAAGATAACCTAGAACCCCTGCACCGATGTAGCCCATGGCAGTTCAGTGTCCAAGTGGGTTCCATAGTAATGGGAAGAGGGACTGCCTCTGACATAATCTGATTGGCCTGCTCTTTGATCACCTCCCCCTGAGGGGGGAGCATCTGTACCAGGCCACAGAAGAGGACAATGCAGCCACTTTTGATGAGAACTGATAGACAAAGATCAGAAAGGAGAGGAGAACCTCCCCTATCAGTGGACTTGGGGAGTGGCATGCATGCAGAAAGGGGAGGGAGGGTGGGAGTGGGAGGGGAGGAGGGAGGGGCTTATGGAAAGAGAAAAAAAATTAAAAAAAGAACTGATGCTTTTTAAAAAGCTGTTTGTAGCAGCTTTATTTGTAATAGCCAGAAGCTGGAAACAACCCAGATGCCCCTCAACTGAAGAATGGATGCAGAAATTGTGGTACATCTACACAATGGAATATTACTCAGCAATGAAAAATAAGGAAATCATGAAATTTGCAGGTAAATGGTGGGACCTGGAAAGGATCATCCTGAGTGAGCTGTCCTAGAAGCAGAAAGACGCACACGGTATATACTCACTCATATAGACGTGTAATACAGGATAAACCTACTAAAATCTGTAGATCTACAGAAACTAATCAAGAGGGAGGGCCCTGACTAAAATGCTCAATCCCCATCCTGAAAGGAAAAGAGGATGGACAGCAGAAGAAGAAGAAAACAGGAAACAAGTTAGGAACCTGCCACAGAGGGCCTCTGAAAGGCTCTGCCTGCAGACTATCAAAGCAGATGCTGAGACTTATGGCCAACTGTTGAGCAGAGTGCATGGAATCTTATGAAAGAAGTGGGTAATAGTAAGATCTGGAGAGGACAGGAGGTCCACAAGGAGAGCAACAGAACCAGAAAATTTGAACACAGGGGTCTTTCCAGAGACTCATACTCCAACCAAGGACTATGCATGGAGATAACCTAGAACCCCTGCACAGATGTAGCACATGGCAGTTTAGTGTCCAAGTGGGTTCCATAGTAATAGGAAGAGGGACTGCCTCTGACATAAGCCAATTGGCCTGCTCTTTGATCACCTCCCCCTGAGGGGAGAGCAGCCTTACCAGGCCACAGAAGATGACAATGCAGCCACTCCTGATGAGATCTTATAGATTAGGATCAGAAGGAAGGAGAAGAGGACCTCCCCTATCAGTGGACTTGGGGAGGGCCATGCGTGAAGAAAGGAGAGGGAAGGTAGAATTAGGAGGGAAGGAGGGAGGAATTTATGAGGGGATAGAAAGTGAATAAAGTGTAATTAATAAAAAACTGTGTTAAGGAAAAAAGAAAAAAAGCTGCAACAACCATTGTCTGTCTGTCTATCTATCTACCTATCTATCATCTGTCTATCTATCCATCCATCCATCTATCATCAATCTATCTGTCCATCCATCTACCCACCTACCTATCATCAATCCATATACACACATGTATATACATGTATATAAGTAAATAAGAATTAATTACACACATATATGTAATTTATTATATATATAATACATTTATGTACATTCCTTTTATACATATGTATATATAATGAATTCATATATACACACATATGTTCATTATATATTGTGTATATAATTGTATGTAAGAATATATGTATATAATGAACTCATAATATTTACATATATGTTAAATGAATTATTATTTACTTGCTAAGTCTATGAGGAGATTCCTTTGGATGATTATGTGCTCCAGGCTCATGGACACAGGGGTCAACCCTGAATTTCACAAGCAACAATAGGATACAGCCTTATGTACTTGCAGTTAAAGGTTCAACTATTCCCAGAAGGCTACATGGAGACTTCAAAGTCTCATCAGTGAGTTAGACTACTGTCCCATTTCTTCAAGGATGGTAGAAAACAAGGAACCCAAATCGTGCTCATGCCTCATACAGTATTTCAAAATAGCTTTTTGAAAAACGGAGTTGTGTATATGGAAAAGGTACATGTACTTGCTGCAATTTAAAACAGGTGTTTTATTTTACTACTGGAACTCTGTCTTTGTCACACACACACACACACACACACACGTGCAGTTGACATTTCCAATCTGTCAATCCAAGCTCTGGTACTTATTAACCTACAACCTTAGTTAGATTATAGGTGCAAATTTTTTTTTTATTCATGCCAAATATTTCTACTTATGTGCTTTGAGAATTCTCATAAAATGATCAAATCAATTATCTTATAACAGAAACCAATGTTCATAAGTGGCACTAAAAGTCTCTTGACTGCCATGCAGGATATTGAAGAAGCCATATTTTGGTCAACAGATAACAGGAAAGCATTTTTAAGCATAATTTTCAAGCACCAAAAATGGCTTTGAAGTGAGAAATTTCTGAGAGCTACCTGCTTTGGAAGCAGCCATCTGTGACTTGGTACCAAATCTCACATGTTGGCACTGCCTCTTGTTTTAAAGAGGTAAACATAACATGACGATTTACTTTTCAAGTTGATTTATTTCATTAAACAGAAAAAGTATTATTGATCAATTCTCAGTAGGGGATGTTCTTTGTAGTTCCTTTTCATCGACTACTGGTTACTGATTTAATATTATTTGTTTATTCTACTTCTAATTGAAAATAACTTTTTATGACATTTATTCTGATCAAAGTTTTTTCTCTGGCAACTCTTCCAACATCATCTCCACCTCCTCATCCGCCCAATTGCACATCCTTTCTTTCTCTCTCTTATGATAAAAACAGGTATCTAAAAATAAAATAATAACACTCAAACCAGAATAGAATGAAACAAACAAACAAAAAAACAGGCTTAAAGAAAAAGCAGAAGAAATACACACAGATGCAGAGACACGCACACTTGGACACATAGAAATCCCTTAAAAGACAAAATTAAAAACTATAGTAGAATCCCATCTTGTTCCCTCTCATCTACCACTTCCAGTGCCTAATCTGTTTTCCCCTCTGAATGAGAATTAAGCATCTTCCCTAGGATCCTCCTTGTTGTTTAGCCTCTTTAGGCCTGTAAATTTTAGTATGTTTATTCTATATTATATGGCTATAATCCACTTATAAGTGAGTATAAACCATGTGTGTCTTTCTGCTTCTGGGATATCTCACTCAGGATGATCTTTTCTATTTCCATCCATTTGCCTGCAAATTTCATAATTTCCTTGTGTTAATTGCTGAGTAGTATTCCATTGTGGAAATGTACCACAATTTCTGTATCCATTCCTCAACTGAGGAATATTTAGGTTGTTTCCAGATTCTGGCTATTACAAATAAAGCTACTACAAACATGGTTGAGCAAATGTCCTTGTTGTATGGTTGAGTATCTTTTGGATATATATGTCTAGGAGTGGCATAGCTGGGTCTTGAGGTAATACTATTCCAGTTTTCTGAGAAAGCACCTGATTGCTTTTCAAAGTGTTTGTACAAGCTTACATTCCCACAAGCAATGAAAGAGAGTTCCCCTTTCTCCACAACCTTGCCAGCATGTACTGTCACTTGAGTTTTTGATCCTAGCCATTCTGATGGGTATGGGAACCTACCACAGATGTCCTCTAAAAGACTCTACCCAGCAGGGGACAGAAGCAGATGCAGAGACTCACAACCAAGGATGGAGTGCAGGGAGTCTTATAGAAGTAGGGGAAAATAGAAGCACCTGGTGGGGACAGGAATCACACAAGGAGACCAACAAAACCAAAAAATAAAATAAAAAAGCTGGTCCCATGGGGACTGCAGAGAGTGATGCATCAACCAAAGACCATGCATAGAGAGGACCTAGACCCCCTGGCCAGATGTAGCCCATAGACAGCTCAGCCTCCATGTGTGTTCCCTAGTAAAGGAAGAAGAGACAG